AATTCTTGCTTTTTATTATGCATACATTTTAATATACCGCAATTGATTTTTGTGGATTTAAAAAAATACTAATACTAAAAAGATACTAATATACACAAAATAGTTTTTGAAATAGTGCAATAGAAAAGTATGAGCATGTTTTAATATATGGTTTTGAATAAAATAAGCTTTTTTTGAGGTTTTTTTCACCATCATCACCTGGCCCACTGTGCATTACCAATTGCTTTGCGATATATATTAGTGTTGTTATAACACTTATATTTGAAACAATTTTTAAAATTACAATTTACAATTGTAAAAACCATTTAGAAATAAAATAAGAATTCAATTATTTTACGAATAAAAAGTTGGTATTTTCTAAAAACTTCGTCGAAGTTTCGTCGAAGTTTCTCGATTTGTCTCGACTCCGAAACTCCGAAAAACCGAGAAAAATCCGTCGAGACGGAGTTCCGAATGGATGCACTGTTGATAAGAGAAGTTTAATAACAAATAAAAATATAATTTATAGTAAGTTCGTTCTATATTAACTTTTCAGATTTGAATAGGTAAAAAAAAAAAATTCTAAAATATTTTTAAAAAGCGATTTTTAGATAAAGATGAAAGAGAGAAAAAGATAGGTCAAAACTTGCTTAAATGACTATCTTAATGTGGCAAATTACTTTAATAAAATAAATAACTTTCCTGCTATTTTTTTTGAATACTTAACTCATGCAGTTATAAATCCTAATTGTTTTAAAGGTAACTAAAATGGTTTATAGATTAGCACTAAAAACAAAATTTGTACTCGTTAAAATTATTATATTGATGGAGAGGTTTTGCAAAGTCTTTTTATGTGATAATCAGTTTTTTTTATTTTTGGTGTGACTTGGAGATGTGTAAAGCAACTTTGAAGTATTTTCAGCAACGTCATATACTAATTGCAAAGGCATGGGAGATATAGAAGGGTTTTATATAGCTTTAAAGCTATTTTATATAGTTGACCTTTCATTCAAATAAACATAGTGCTTGGTTATGTTTAGTGTTATGTTTAGTGTTATAATGCTAGTAAAAAAGATAGATTTGAAAAAAATTTGCTGAGTAAACAACATAATTAGGAAGAGTATACTTTAGCGTATACTTTGAGCATACTTTAAAAATAAATTATCCTTTTATTATTGTCAAAGGATTTTGGAAGACTGCACTTGCCCGGTTTAAGAGTTGTCATCAAAATCGCAGTTGCTAACTTTGGTTGTTATGAATGAAATGCTCTTGTTAATGCTTTTGTTTTTATGAACAAATACGCGGATGAGACTTACGCTGACGTTAGATATTAGTTTTGACATCGTAGCATCAAGCTTTTGAGAAGCAGCTATATAGTTACCTTGACCTAAGCCTGGCCAGTTAGCTGCTATAGCTGCAATTCGGTCTGTTGACGGTATGCTCGTTGTGACCAATGATTTGCAAAGTGCTCCATTTGATTTTTTTAATTTGATATGAGGGCTAACACATCCTCTTTTACTATCTTTGCTTTGCCAATCTCTTGAGGAATTTTGTTAAGGACTTTGTTGTGTCTTATTCTAACAAAACCTGTGCTTTAATCAAAATAGCATATGTAAGTGTTTTTGTCCTCTTTAGCTTGTTTTAATCCTTCCCTCTGTTTATGATTTAAATTACTTTTTTTTTGCGGTTTAAACATTTTAGGTTGCCTCAAGGCTCAAAATTATTTTATTAACAGAATCCACTGCATTAAAACTAAAGTATTGCAACAAAATAGAGATTTCACAAGACTTACGCAGAAACGTTTTGAGACAACTTAAAATGTTTAAACCGCAAAAAAAAAGTAATTTAAATAATAAAGAGAGGAAAGCATTAAAAAAAGTTATACAGGAAAAACTGATATATACTAATTTGATAAAGGTACAGTCGATATTAGAGTAGAACACAACAAAGCTATTGACAAAATTTGTCAAGAAAATAGCGATACAAAGATAATTAATGAGCACCATATCATTATATTTGCCTTTAAAACAAAACTTATCTATTAAAATTTAATAAAAAAAGAGCGATTTATCAAGAAAGAATATGTAAATCTTTACCCAAGTGACCCAGTACCGCCACGTAAGTATGGTGTAATTAAAGCGCACGAATCGTAAAATTCATACCCTATGCGTTTAGTAGTTTAAACCATCAAGACACCAAGTTTTAGTAAATATATATAAACCAGTTTTAAATAAAAATATAACAAAAATAAAAAATTCCTCAACGTTTGTAAAAACAACTAAGCTTTGGAATATACAAAACAATGAAATAAAAGTATCATATAACAATGTCAATATATATCTATTAATTCCACTTGGAGAGGCCAAAAAAATTCTTCTTAGTCTGTTAGAACTCTTCCAAAATTTGAATAAACTATCAAAACTAATTGTTTCAGAAATTAAATCACCAATAGGGCTGTGTTTATATAAACGGTAATTTTTCAGAAATGAAAAAATTCGTGAGCTTGTTGATTCAGGTCTATTAGAATTTTTACTCATGGTGATACTTGCGGTAGGTTTTCTACAATTTTCTGAAAATAAAGCAATTGACATTGAATTTCATTATAATCTACTGTTATAAATTATATTGTTTTTGAGGTAAGTAGATATAAGCCACTCAAGTTTTACAATAAAACATATTGCCATCCGTTTTTAACAAATGTTTAGCACTTAACATCATGCCATCAATTACACAATTAAATTGGAGGATAAAAACAAAATATTAAATTTTTTTAGACAAACATCCAATAATTGAAAAGGTAATTATGATTTTAACATACATCTAAAAAAAAAAAAAAAAAAAAATTCACGTTAAGCCCAATTCAAATCACGATCCAAAAGTCTTACAATGACTTATATATATAGCTTTATCAATTTGCTCTGAAAAGCTTTTAATTAAAGAAATCGATTTCTAAAAAAAAATTTGTATTCCCAATATGGGTACGAAAAGAAAAAATTACAAGACCTTGCAAATATGGTAATAAAAAAACGATACTTAAATAATAAAATAATCTTATCTAACAACGAAGCAAGCATGCCAAATATATCTCTACCGTAGAATCCAATATTATTAGCAAAACTTCAAAAAATCTTGAGGATTGCAGGTTACAGGGCAGTCCCCAGATAGCACAATAACGTTGTTTTTAAACATTAGAACAATGTTGCACGTTTCGCTAAATTAAAATTTAGCAACCGTGGCGCAGTGGAAGCGCACTTGCCTCAGAAACAGAGGATCCGTTGTTTAAACCCCACCTCTAGGCGAGTTTAGCAATAAAGAGTGGGAAGGAGGCGTGAACTTCCTATTAAATGCTCATCCGCGGTGCTCTGTAATAAGACCGTAAGAACTTCTTGGAGCACCTAAAATAAAAAAAAATAGAAAATAAAAAAAAATTGGCTGCCGACGTTGTTTTTATATCATTATGGTTACAAATGCGACGTCGCCAACAACTAAAATTTAATGTTGATAAAACGTAATATATAATATATATAAATTTATATATATATATATATGTATATATATATATATATATATATATATATATATATATATATATATATATATATATATATGTATATATATATAAATGTATATATATATATATATATATATATATATATATACACATTAGACCAACGCTGTGTTTATATCCTAAAAATAATCAAATTTTTGTTATGTTTTTATATACATTGAAAAAACGTTGGTTTATATATATTGAATCAACGTTGAAATATATATATATATATATCAACATTGATTTTAGATTGTAAAACCAATCAATTTTTCGCAATGCTTTTACATACATTGGACCAATATAAATTTGCCAGATGTTTTTAGTTCCGTCGGTAATAACTTTATCATTAACCAAAAGACATTGGATCAACGTTGGTTTTGCATTGGAAAAAAGAGCCAACTTTCACGTTTTACATACGTTGGCCCAATGTAAGTGTGCTAGCTTGGTCTTTAAATCTTGTGCAAACAATAAATTTTTGCTAACCTCATGCAACAATACAAAACTCAAATCATCAAACAGCTATATCGGAGTATACCTTATAGAATGCAGGTGCGAACGAAAATATATCGGTGAAACAAAAATGAAAGCAGCAACAAGAACAAAACAACATAAAAAAAAATTTTTTTTAAAAATTGAAACAATCTGTAATTGGGCACTATAAAATTTAATGTTCATGTTATATATAATAGAATCAAGTAAAAACTGTAAAAGTAGAAACCAAAAAATTTAAATGAAAAGTTTGATTTTTTAAATATTTTTAACAGAATGGAGTTTTATTCTACAGTTTTAAGGTCCACCACAAATGCTGTTTCAAGTTACCCCACACTTTCTAATAGAAAATAATGGCTTTTATTTTAGTTTTAACTTGTTTCTTTAACAAATTTGTTAAATGAGGTAACGAGCTTGTGGACTATTGCTTGCAAAATAATGTTACTTACAAATAGAAAAATTAAATATACTACCTTGAAACTTATGAGCTTTGCAAACTAATAAATCACTTTGTCATCAAATAAACACAATATTTAATTCCTTGCAGGCCTTATAATGTCAAATGATTTAGGTTTATTTTTAAAACACAGCTCTAAAAGTGGTTGTCACAAATTATAAGATGCCTAAACAATTGCAATGTTTTTTGGTACTCTTTGTATCATGGTACCTCTCTATCCCCTACCAATAGTGAGGTTTGGTACAGTTAAAGTAATCAACGTTGTAGAGATAACAATAAATTAAACTTCGAACTTATAATACTATTAACATATTTAACACATTGGTCACACTAAAAGCAAGAGAATGTAAATACATATCGTGTACAAGAATTTGCAGGCAAGATGATAAAATACTTTTCTTAAATTGTTTTGATTAATTACTAATTTCAAAGTGTTAAAAGTTTCAAAATTTAAAAATTATTAAATATTTTTTAAAAGTTTTCAAACCTAGCTTCTATTGCCCAAAACCAAAAAAAATTATTTACCTTCTAAAACGCTTTTATTTTTTTTATTTTCTGGATCTGAAATGAAAGAAGTAGTTACGCTTGTCATAAACGACGTGTATTGAATCCATTTATATCCATCTTTGTCGCAAAACGAAAATTTTACTGGAATCTCTAAAGTAAAGTCACCACGCTGTGAACAGCTTGTCATTTCTAAAGTTATATTTATATACTGATTGAAATTATTTGTCACAAATGCGCCAGGAATCTAATGAAAAAATTAAGTGTTTAATTTCGGTTGTTTCTCATTATAAATAAGTCCTACTAAAAATAAATTATTAATAATGTCAATCACTTTTAGTACTTAAAAAACTGCAAGTGCAATTAAGTTTATTTAAAAAACTGCAAGTACCTAACTAGTGATAATCTTTGACTATCTACTTTTAGGCGTTTTTTAATCTTGCTTTACTGTTTCATTTAGTCTCTAAGGTGCGAATTATTTTCATTTTTTAGATTTATGCAAAAATAATTAAACTTAAAAAATTTCCATTTACGGCTTTTAGATCACCAGGCTACAGTGGTCCGTTAGGCTGTTTTGCGGATAAATTTATATAACTATTTGAAGGCAGGTCAGAATTGCCTCAGATTTATATTATGAAGTTGCGGCCTATGTGTTAACATAAGGGTAGCAAACGGGTAAAAAATGGGGTGTTGATCCGCCCAGGGCGTTACTTTTTTATGGGTGTTAAAAAAAATGTTTTTTCTTTCTAGTTGAAAACTTCCTAACAGTACTACCTCCATAAAAGCATTTTCCATAAAAGACCGGTGAAAACCATTTTCCAACCCCTGCGATTATTGTCTATACAAGCCTAAACTTTTATGCCGAATCAAATTTTTTAATTATGTAATTTTGTAAACCATAAATAAGTATTTACAATATGAAATTATTGTATAGTATTTTATTTATGTTACGTAGGTATAACTACGATTATTCATGCAAGCTATAGCTTGCATGAAACACAGGAATTAGGTAATGACATTCATCGCTTAATTAAAACTTCCTATTTACGAATTCTAGCAATAGTTTATATTGAATTAAAACCCTCAAAAATTAACATTAAACGACATATATACCAATTAACAATAGTTTACAACCAAAACTGTTTAATCACATAATCGTCTACAAATGGCTTTTTACAATAAAATTATTGAATTCAGAATAAGAACAAACAATAAACACTGAACACGTTAAAAAAATCTTTTAGTAAAAGTATTACTTTGTTTCTGGTAATTTCTCTGTTAAATTTGGTTCTCTATAGAGAATAAGAAGCTTTTAAAATAATATTAGATAACCATGTTAATTCAGCACAAGCATTAGTTACAGTGTTTAAAATGTTAGAAAATATTAACGACATTGACGAACAATCAGAGTTAGTTTTAATAAACACATTTAGGCCTAAAAAATTCAATGTTTATTGCAAAACGTATCAAGATTGACGAAGAAGCTCAGTAAAGCTGGGAAAAGTGGAGGTAATTACAAACTTCAAATATATAAATAAAAAAAAATGACATAATTATTATAGAATATTTTTTAATTAGTACAGATATTACTGCATTTATAAACAAAACATAAATTTGACGAAAATCATTATTATTACTTATGTGATTATAAATCATAAATTTTGATATTACTAATAATAATAAATAATATTTTTAGTGTTACAATTTCATATATAGGTTTTGCTGTCATTTAATGAAGATATGATAAACCAAGAAGATGACAACAGTTCAGAAGAAGATACGCAAAGAAAAAGATAAAAATGGGAGAGTATTTCTCAAAAGTCAAAAATTCGAAGAACAGAAGAACTCTGGAAAAATGTAAACAAACTGAAATCAAGAATATTGATCTGAAAGAGGTTTGTAATTTCCTAATATATAGTTGTTCATCTTCTAGCTGTGTCAAAACTACTCAAATAACAACTGTGACGGCTAATTCAATCATGTTTAAATCTACTGTGATTCACTGCTGGGTCGATCAACATGCAGAAAAAAATGAAGTTTCATTATTATCTTCAACAGACATTATTTGAATATTAAAGTAAACATTTTCGCAGACAGTTTTGACAGAAAAGCATCAAATATAAATCAGGGTCTTGGAGGTGCTTACTGTGATCTTTGTGATTTATCTAAGGAACAATGTGATGATATATGTACAATTAAACAGGGATTCGTTATAAAAAGAACCATTGATACCATGGAGCCGATATTTTTGGATTTATTTCAAAAAGACAGCTCTTTAACTAAAAAGTCAAAGGATTATGATGTTTGCCATGGACAAACAGTAAATCCAATCGCTGGATCTAACGTAAGGTTTGTACAAGTACTCCATGCATTACTCCGTGGATTTGACCATTTTATGAAAGTTATGGGTATCTTTAGCTGCAGGAGTTCACGCATGGACAGAGTCGAAGACAGCCAGTACTGCGCTTTTCCTTGAAATAGAGAAAAAAATATACAGGAGTTAATTGGCAAAAAAAAATCAAGTCGAATTTTGCAGATTCATCAAGTCAAGGGGGTAGTACTACAACTGGTAATGTAGCTAGAAGTCTTCTTTATAATGAGAAAAATAGAAAACTGATTACTGACTACATTTCAAATAAACATGTTAGAATGTTAGCAGAGAGGTACGGTCTCTTGTTGTCTAATATTATTCGTGCTATGTGATCTAGTCAGAAAATAAGCATAAAAAAAATATAAAGACATATGTAAGGAGACAAATTTTCTTCTTCGACAAGAAATTCTCTGGGCTAGTTTGACACCGACTATTCATAAGATATTAGGACATTCTTAGGAGCTTATTGAGTTAAATAATGACACATGACTTAAATTATGGAGCAAGGAAGACATGGAGGTCAAAAACAAACAACTTAGAATATTTAGAGAAAAATAAGAAAAATCAAGAAAAACAAATCAGTTGCAGAACTTGGAAGATTGTTTTAAAAGACTCTGGGTGAGTTCTGACCCTTAAGTTACCATACGAAGGAACAAAGGTCGAATACAATGCAAATTGTGTAGTGAGATAGGGCATAGTAAAAAACATGTTTCTATGAAAATGATATTGTTAATACTTTGTTTATGTAAAATAAAATAAAAAACTTGAGCGTTTGCTTGTATTTTTTTAGTCTTTATAGAAATTTAGATAAAATATCTAGTGCATTATGCTTAAAGAAACAATAAAACATAATTTTTATAACCACAAATAACTTAAAAACCAAACAGGTAGCATACCAAATTAATGGCAACAGTATAAAGTTTCCAAATAATATATGATTAAGTATACCAAATCTCCGGTTTTTGAGATTTGAGGAAGTAAATAAAAATTTAGGAGATTTTTTATTGCAGAAACTCACTTTTCCATTCAATTTTTTTAAAAGAAATGAAGTTTTTTATTAATAACGTTAAAAAAAAAATGAAATTAATACTTTTATTTTGTTCACTCAATTTTGTGAGTAATGATTTTTTTTTTTTTTTTATTTTTGTCTATGAATCTGCGGCATATAACTCAAATTAGAAAATGTAAGTAAAAAATCTAACTCTGCGGTATAAACGTTTTTTTACATTTTTTTTAAAACTTTGAAAGGTTGTCATTTCTTAATCAGACATGATAATGACCTTTACTCTTTTCCATTTAATTCGAATTTTGTAGTCTCGAAAAATCATTAAGAAATTTTAGTCCTGAAATAAAGATTTTTTCATTTTTTCTACTATTTGGACCACTGTGCAGGCTACAAAAATTTAAAATTAAAATATTTAAAGTTCTGTTTAAGGCCGATTTGATCTACATATACACCAGCAGGATGTTGATTTCACCCTCATCCAAGCCAACAATCTTTTTGTCAAATAGGGTTCCTGTGCAATTAAAAAATTAAACATAAAAATAGACAACGACAAATAGAACTCTAAACCTCATTATGCTTTTCTTAAAAGCATACGCGCAGTCACCAATTAATGACTTCTAATTGTTAAGATTCTGGGAAAATATGCCGCGATGGAGCTTTCATTGTTAATTTACTAAAAAATCCGTAACAGTCAGCAATCAGGGTTGAACCATCAGATCAACATTTACCACCCTTCATGAAACGTTCAACCACTTTAATATCCTCCGTTATCTTTTCTTAATATTTTGTTTGCAAACACATATCTGTTATCAATGCCGAATATCAATTTTGGTGACCTTATTAGCCTGTTTTACTTAAAGAATGTACCAATGCGGCATCACTAAACTTCTATAGACCATGGACTTTATAAAATACACTGTATCCCATTTAACTCCTGTAAAAATAGTAAAAATTGTAAAAATGGTAAAAACTCCTGTAAAAATTGATAAATTCTACACTTTGCCTAAGTTTTAGACAAAGGTTCTCACAAAAACCTGTAATATTTATAAATTTATTTACAAATAATACAAATTAAAATAAAAATTCGAGTTTAACAAATAAATAATAATAGACTACTGTACAATTAATGTCAGTGCAACTTTTAACAAAATTCAAAAAATGGTGTTTAAATATAGTTTCTCATATAAACGTTAAATCAATATTGTATAAAAGTAAAATATAAATGAGTGATTACAAAATTGTATATAATTGATAGTATATAAAGATATTTTCAATTGAGAAAATTACTTTTTTTAATTTTCTTTTGAACATATAATATTTCCATTTATGAGAAAAATCAAAAGTTTCTAAGACTATTAGATTCCATAAAAAAGCAGTACGAAAAGAAAAGCATATTTACTAAAGTTAGTTTGAAATTTTGGTTGTTTAATGAAATTATCATTTCTTAAAGAATATTTTTTTTTTCATTTAAAGAATATAAATCAAAAAAGGAAGCTGGAAAAGAGTTGGTTTTACATTTAAACATAAAACATAAAACATTATAATTATATACTTGATATATATTAAAAACATTTTAAAAAAATGTTACATAAGAGTGGCCTTGAGTGAGTAAAACAATTTTTGAGTTTTATAAAACGTGCAATGTGCTTCGGCTGACAATAAAGTGGCTTTAACCTATTTTTATGGGTACTACCCATGCAATACTAGCATATTTAATATGACAGTGTATAAAAGAATAATATAGTTGTGTTAATGAATGTTTATTTAAAACGCTTCTTGCTTCATATAAAACTTTTTTCAATTTTGTTGCATTAGTGTCCGATGTAATTCTTCCACGATAAGTTTTCATCTACAATGATACCTAGAAAATGTGTGAAAATTACTCTTTTTTTTTGGAATATTATCAATATGAAAAAGAGGCATATTACTTGTAAGTAAATGTTTTTTTAAATCGTGGATGAAAGAAAATTCAATTAGTTTTATCAATGTTGAGTGAAAGTTTATATGATTTAAACCAGTCAGATATTTTTGTTAGTTCAATGTTCATATCATAAAAAAGTTTATTGATTTTATTTTTAGATAGGAATAGGTTTGTCTCATCAGCAAACAATATAGTTGTTAATTTTGAGACTTCATGGAGATCGTTAACATAAATTAGAAATAATAAAGTATAGAGATGTGGAAGATGTGGAACTCCACAAGTTATATTTATATAATCAGGTAAAGAAGATCCGTCGACAAAGACAAATTGTTTGCGATGTTTTAAATAGCTTTTTAATAGTTTTAAAACATTACCGTTGATACCATATTGTTCAAGAATTTTAAACAGTATTTCATGTTCAATTGTGTCAAAAGTTTTAAATAAGTTTATCAAGACGCCTTAAGTAAACTATGACTTGTTGGATAAATCAGTTATTTTACGAGTAAGATGAATTATTGCATGTTCAATAGAGTTGTTTCTTATAAAACCGTATTGATTTATGTAAAGTATTTTATCAACAGCAAGATGATTAGATATTTAGTTAAATATAACTCTCTCTAAAATTTTTGAAAAAACATAGAAGATAAATATTGGTCGATATTTACTGACATTTGATGTTTCACCTCCTATAAATATAGGCGTTATTTTGGTTATTTTCAATTTATCGGGGAAATTTCTTGATTTATAGAACATTTAAAAACTTTAAAAAGAATATGTTTTATGGTATCGTATGAACCTAGGACTATTTTACAACTTATATCATCATGACCAACTGCTTTATTAGTTTTAAGGGTTTTAAAAGCACTTTCAAATTCTGAAAAAGATACTTCAAATTTATTTAAATTAGAATACATATGGATACACATAATCATTTATTGGATTATTTATATTTGGAAACTTTTTATCTAAATTTTGGCCCACAGACACGAAATATTTATTTAATTCTCATGCTATTTGTTTAGGATCATATAAAAACACGCCATTAACTTTTATAGTGTTAGGCACAGAGCATAAATTTAATTTACTATTTCCAGTAATTTGAATTATAACTAGCCATGTGCGTTTTGAATAATGCTTATATTTTTCTAGTAAGTCATAGTAATATTGTCTTTTAAATTTTTTTCTTTGACTTCCAAACATTTTAGCATAATTTTTATTAATAATTTTATTTTTTGGTGTTGGTTTTTTTAAGTACTTTGTATACAGTTTTTGCTTTATTTTTGAGGATTTCTTAAAAAATTTATTGGCCCATGGTGACTTTTATCTTTTATTGGTAATAATAAATTCACGTTTTAGAAAATTTACATCATATATTTCATAGAAAGTTTGAAACAATGTATCGTTTACTTCATTAGCTTCAAATGAACTTTTTATATCATTCCAATTTATTAAAGATTATTGATCCTTAAACGATGCTAGATTTGCATCTGTGAAAAAACGTTTGATTATGATTTTTTATGTTGTTGTTTTAATTTGTTGTCCATATTAATAGAGAAAAAAATAGGGATGTAATCAGAAACGTCATTTTTAGATATATAGTATAAGAATGATTTGCAAAAAGTTGCAATAAATGTATTTCGGAAACAGAAAAAACATAAAAAGAGATCAAGTGAATAAATCATTATTTTACTATTATTATGTTATTGTTATTTTTTTTGGACCTATGTTAAAACTAGGTTTATATTTATCGTTGAATTTAAACTTCCAATTATAACTATATAAAGCATAAACTCCCGCCATTATAAGGTGGTTAAAAATTTTCTATGGCTATTTTGTTTGAACGCTAAGAGAATATATTATAAATCTTAAAATTTATTAATGAATAAAAGTCTAGTTAAAAATTGTACAAAAATTATATTTCGAACCATTGCAATTTGGTTTAAATCATTTTTACTTGACAAAATTCTATACATTAAAAGGCTTGAAGTTTGCTTCATATCTAGGAGATATTTACCTTAAAGAATAAAATTGCAAACTTTACTGCTATTATACTTATTAAAATTATATATAAATAAACATATTACATAAATTAAACATATTACATAGTCTAATATAAATTCTTACTGTGTAAATAGATCCCTTATGTAAATAAACTTCGCTTTGAGAAATAAGTTTAAAAAAATATGGCAACATGTATTCCCATGTTAAGTTATAAGCTATTGGACTTGTTTCGTATGCATAACTAATTGCTGTGTTAATAGTTAAAAATTTCCTAAAATGTAAAAAAAATCCATTAACATTTATTATTTATTCATAGATGTTCAAACTATTAGTATTACAACATTTTTCTTTAAATTTTTCAAATACTAATGATTTTTTATTAACTGCCATTTTAATTTTTTGAAATGCAAATAAATCAAATTTCAATTACGTTTTTATAAGTTGACCACTTGGGCGAATTTTGATAACAGGTTTATCTAAAGAGAAAACAAATACTTTTATAAACAAGATAAAAAATAATAAAAGTTGGTTAGATAAATAGAGTAAAATCTCTTGAACTTGAAGTTTTTTTGGAAAAAAAAATTAAAGTTTAAAACTGGACAATTGTCAAATTATTAAAAGTTTACTTTTTATGAAATGATTTCTTGGTAACATAGCATTAAATCAAATTGGTGATTTTTTAATTAATCTATATATTTTAGAAATATTTGAAACACTGAATATTTATGACATATATATATATATATATATATATATATATATAAATATATACATATATATAAATTATGGTGATATATATAAAAAAAAATAAATGCACCTAAAATATTGTTCCAAACGGTAATTTTAGTATGTTGACAAATAATTTTTGCCTGATTTTTAGGATTTTTGGAAAATAATGACCGTGTTATTTATACATGCTTTATTATTAACAAAAAACCGTACTTTACAAAAGTAAAACTAAAACTAATTTTTCTAAAAAGTGTTTATGAATATGTTGCATAAAATCGAATTGAAAACTGTTTTTTTAAATTTTATTTTAAATATTAAAAAAAAAAACATTATTTTAATTTATTGGATCACTAGGTCAATACTTTTCTTTAAAAACAACATAGTTACTGCATTTAGTGTACTATTACACACAAAAAAAAAAGCATTTTTACTTATATTAACTGTAGTTACTCTATGTAGTAATAAGCAAACAACTAAACTAAAAACCATTACATTTGTAAACAATAGTTATTGTTTGTGCTGATAAACAAATGGTAAAAGAAAACTAATGTGATAATTAAGAAAAAAAAGAGTTCTTTTACTATTATGAAGCTTAATATTACACTTTCCGTGCATCAAATTTGTAATCTTAAGACATATGACACATCTTCCTTGAGTACAATCAGTTAGCTCAAAGCCCTGGTAAATAATTCTAACATGAGCTTGTAAATCGTTGCATTTAAGGCACCATCTGTTCTATTTTTACGGATAATACCTGAAGCAATAAAACTCTCTTCTGAGTAATTTCATCAACTTTCCACTTCTGAAAAAGTTATCAAAAAAATTTTTTTGATAACTTTTTCAGAAGTGGAAATTTTTTTGATAACTTTTTCAGAGTTGTTAGCACGCTAGGCCTCAAGGGCAGGAAGTCCATGTTCGATTCCTACCACCACCGTTTTTTTTTTTTTTAAATAAATCTTTTTCAATTTTTTTTAAATACAAAGTAAAATGCTTTTGATGAAAAAGAATTTATTTCGAATAAAAGAAAGCTGTTTTATTTTGCATTTTAAAGAAAAAATTTTGAAAATAAGCAAGCTGATGATTTAAACTTGCAACGCGGTGATGTTTACTTTTTTTAAACAGTAACAGGTTTAAAAGACTTGTTTTTATTAAGAATATAATTGCAAATTTTATTTTATATTTAAAATAAGCCATTTCACTAAAATTATAATATTTTAAAACAATAAAAAGTTAAAAATACCTAATATTAAGGTAATACGGAAACTTTAAGTTTTACAGCTATTTTACCACGCCCCCTTTAAACATTCGAAACTGAATGCGCAAAAATGACAGAGTTTATATAACCATTAAAATAGTATTATATTTTGTAAAGTATTGAAGCGTCAGCTCGGACGCTTCCAATTAATAATGCACAAAGCTTTGTAGTGTGCGCACAATGATATTTTTGTGTTTCTTCAAATATCTTTGAACCTTCTAATATCATTATTATAAATGATATAATTTTTGAATATACTTTTATTTGTAAATAGTGTGTATTTTTTTAATTTTTAAATTTGTTTTTAAAGATACTAAGGTTTAACCTTTTAATGTTTTACTTAATGAAACATGTTCTGTTTTATAGGTGGTGTGTTGTACATCTTAAAAGAATCTTTATTTTCTATACGCTACAGTTGACTTTAGTTAGTATTTTTGTAGTTGGTAATCTATCGATTGCTAATTAATGATGCAGATGTAGTTTTTTGGTAAACCAATTTTTTGTAAACAAATTTTTTTTAATATTTTGCTTTGCTATAATGTATAAGTAAATTGATTTACAGTTAATATATTTAGTGAATTTTTTATCTTTTTTTGAATTTTGATACTTTTTTAAATTAAAAAAGTATCCAAATTAAAAAAAAGATAAAAAAAAGCATGTCAAAGTTGTTGAAATTCTTTGTGTGAGTTCAAGTCCTTTTTCCAGCAGGCACACAACGTTGTACTAACGTTGTATTTATGTTAAAATTGCATTTTACGTTACTTAATGTTATTTCAACGTTGAGTCAACGTAATCTTTTTAACGTAATATTCTTCGTTAAGTTAATGTTGACACAACGTTAAAAAACATAGATGTATTAACATAACATTCTAACGTTGAGCTAACGTACGGGCATCGTAAAAAAATAAAGAAATATTAACGTACAGTAATTAGGTAGTTTTTTTTTTTTTTTTTTTTTTTTTTTTTTTTAAGTTGATTAAGGTGCCCCAAGAAGTCCTTACGGTCTTATCACAGAGCACCGCGGAAGAGCATTTGATAGGAAGTACACGCCTCCTTCCCAACCGATGTCGCAAAATTTGCCCAGAGGTGGGGTTTGAACCACGGATCTTACGTTTCTGAAGCAAGTGCGTTACCACTGCGCCACGGCTGCTCGACTTTTTATAGTTCTGCTAACTATAAAAAAATTAGCCGTAAATAATTGTTTATTTTTTTCTTAAAGATGGCGTATGAGAATGTAAAAATAAGTTTTGTTAAAAGATAATTAGCTAAGTTTGAAAGTTTACATTGTCTTTTAAAAGACATTCAGGGAATTTTCAAAAAATATTTGAAAATAAACAGCGCACAATTATTTAAAACTCTGAATTGCTGATAAAAGATTTAATAAATGTTTGATTAAAAAGGTTTATTTAGAAAAATAAACAAATTATTGGTTAGCCTCTAAACATTACCCTGCTTATTGAATAAAAGTTTGAAAGTAAGTAATGTACTTCTGAATAAATATTTTATAGCAGTGTTTACGTACAGTTCTTTTCAGATTAATCATAAATACTATTCTTGATACTACTTGTTGTGTTCAAGTTTTAATTTTTTGTTGTTTGATAATACAAATGTGATAATTAATGCTGAGTTAATTACACAGAAAAATATTTTCACATTATTATCAGTGATGAAGTAAAGCATTTGTATTAGGGTATTCATTATTATAATTTTTTTCTTTTAATTTCATTTTAAAGGGTTGTGCAACTTTTTTATATTGCTTTAACAAAATCAAAGGATGTTGCAAAGTTTAGATTTTTTATTAATAAGAAGAATTAATATGTCGAATATTTTACTTAAGATGCGAGAAAAATACAAATGAATATCAAATCGGTTAGATCCTAATGCTCATGCAACTTTTAAAAAAAATAAAGCTGATATGGAAACCCTTTGAACCTGATAGTTGTACACTCTGAGCAATATTTTATAATATTTTAAATCAAATTAAATGCGTAAAATAAATTTCAATAAACTGGTCTTTTTGCTTATATTTCAACAAAAAATGTAAGTATATTATTATTTTGAAACCGGAACGTTAATTTTTCAAATATCTTCACTAACGTTAATTTTTCAAATATCTTCACTAAGCATCTGCTATGCATTAAGTGTTTAAAAAAATCAAATTGTAAAGTAAGTAAAATAAAATGTATTTTAAAATTTTAATTTATAGAAAGCATAGACAGTCTTCAACAAAAACTCAATTGAATGATCATATTGCAAATATTGAAAAGGCCTCTCCAATAGTAAATAAATGTGCAACAATATGTATGGAAGCAGTTGTTAAACAGTTTTATATATAAAAGTATTTCAATGGAAGCAGTTGTTAAACAGTTCTTTTTATATATTTACAGTATATACTATGCGTGTAAACTTCTTGTATATTCACATTTTTAGAATTATTTTGTATATTTATTTAGTTATGTTTTAGTAAACATAATCTATTTAACTTAATAATGTAACGTTAAACAAGTGAAAAAAAAATAAAAATACAGTTGACATTATTTTGCAAACTAAAGTTTAACGTTAACATTTCGTTGTTAAAAAACTTGTAATACCTAATTTTTATATTCAGATTTTATTTTAGGCTACTTTTTATTTTAGTTTAATTAACCATATCTAATAAAGGTTAGCAAATGTTTTTAGTGTTTTTTTTAAAAAATTTTTTTGGTTATTTTCTAGCACAATTATGACTATTAAATATTCCTATTTAAAAAACTTTTGTTTTTTAAATTTTAATTATAATACAGACATTTAACTGTATAACTTTAATTTTGACAATTATATACAAACATTTAACTAAATGAGATTAATGAGTTAGCAGTGAAAAACTTACACCGAACAAATGTAGATGGATAAGAGGATACGAATATTAATTTTTTAAAGTTTAGGAAATGTAAGAATATTAACTTTTATAAATAAGTTTTATCCTGTTTTTACATTAATAAAAATTATTTTTTGTTATTATTATTATCATTTTTCATTGTATTTAGTTTTCATTATCATTTTGTAATTGTTAAAATTACAAAAATTTATGTTTATTTCAGAATAATAAAAATGAATTAACAAGAGAAAAATCAATCCTTGAGGTAATCACATATCAAATCTAATATTAATTGAGTCAAGAGATGGATTAATTTCAAAAACATTGAAATTGAGAACAATAGTGACTTTTATTTTGTCTCTGGTCATAAATATACTTCTGGAACTGAGAGTTCTAATCTAGACTCTGAGGTTCCTGTGAGTGATGATAATGAAGATCTTCATAATGGAGTACTTGTTATAGAGATTGCCAAATGGATTTTAAAACAAAGAATAACTAGAAATGCAAATGACAAATCGTTAACTATTTACACCAGTATAGTTATCATGTTAATTTACCAAAATGCACAGGGAAAATTTTAAATATTCTTAGTAATGTTCCATCAAGTTAAAATTTGGGGTTAAGTATGTTAACTTTGGTATTTTAAATAACAACTCAAGAATTTTAGCATTCAACCAGTATTATAGAATTGAGTCAAATACAATTTCTCTAGTTGTCAATGTAGATGGCATTCGCTTATTAAAGTCATCTAACACACAGGTTCGGCCTATATTGTATGTTTGTCAAAGTGACACCATTTACTGTAGCATTATAGACGTGGTGGGGATCGAACTCGGAACCACTCGTTTATGAAGCGAGCGCTCTACCACTACGCCACTACCGCATTAATGTAGATAAAACAAAGTATACTCTCTTCCATAAATAATCACAACAAGAAAACCTTCCCTTAAAATTGTCGATTTAAATTTAGATGATAAACTAATTAAAAAAATGAGTCAATACAATTATTAGGAATTCTTATTGATGAAAACTTATCATGACTTCTTAACATAAATTATATCCAATCAAAAATTAGTAAAACAATTGGTTTGATGTACGTATTCGCCCAAATGTAACATCAGAATGTCTGAAACTGGTATATTTTAGCCTGATACATTGTTTTCTCAACCAATGAAACTTAAAAACATATTTTCTCTTCAAAAACATGAATGCAGACTAATATATAAGAAAAAAGATTATGAACATGCAAAACCACTAATGAAAGACATGCAAACGATGAGTATATATGAAATTAATATTTACCAACACTTAATTTTTATGTATAAATATTACAACAGCCTGATTCCGAAAACCTTTAATAACAAACTTAAGAAAAAATTTAACATTAATTACTCTCTTAGAATAAACCAATGGAATTTTTATAAATTGCCTAGAATTAGGTGCAAGTATTCTGAATATCGAATAGCATACCGTGGATCGAAACTATGGAACACATTTCAAAAAACCAAACATTTAAATACGGTAAAAGCATTATACTCCTTTGAGTTTCTAATAAAAAATGAAAATTTTAAACACATTATAAATAAGTTTGCAATTTTTCTCAATAAACATCGAATTCCATTATTCTTAGTTAGAAAAAAAAAATTGTCTTTTTTTTTATATTTAAAACAATGTCAGTATTTTTTAAATGACTATTGTTAGAATTATATTAAATCTATTTCCTTTCTTTCTTTGAATGTAAATATTTTAAATTATTAAAGTTTTTTTTTATTATATTAGAATTGTACAGTTATATTTTTAACAATCTTATTCTATTTTAAACTTGTAAAACCCACATTAGGGCTCTATGAAAAGATCGTGGTGACTTTAGTCATCTATATCTTCTTTGAGCCCCTGCATGTTTATATAAATCAACTTTTTTTTGTATGAAAATGTTTCTTTGTAATCATATTTTCTTATTATATAAACAGCAAATATATAAAAACTAAAAAAAAAAATTTAATTTTTGGGGAGAACCTTAACGCTTATTGAATGGGACAAAATCATATTTACACACAAGCATCTAAAGTTAGTTAGATATCCAAACTCCTGTAGTAAGAAATGTTGAACACAACAATTCAACAGACCAAACCATTATTTCTATCATGGTCTAAATACCATGGGCTAAACATAACATTAGAAATATTGCATTAATGGGAACTAATAGCATATTTCTCCTGGTGAAAACATTTTTTTTGTTTTGGTGTGAGAAGTTAAGTTTAATTTTTTTTTGAGTTTTTTGTAAATTTAACCTTTAACTCTCGCATAGTGTGAGAGTAAATGGTTATCAAATAATTTTCAATGTACAACATAATCAACTTTATTAAGTTTTAAGAAGTATTTTACAAAACCAGCCCCATTCATTTCAATTCTCCCCTAGAGGTTTTAGCTTTATTTCGATGTCGAAACTTTGAATATAAAAATTTATCAAAAAATAATCTTTCCAAATTGTACTTTGTGAATTAATACTCTAATGTGTATTTACAATTATTTTATTAAATTTGCTGGATCGCTTAATGGAGTATAACAAAGTAGTTATTTTCCATTTATTATTTGTTATAACGTTTTTATAGAATTATGGAGCATCATATTATTGCCAAGTTGAATATGAAAAGCAAATTTCCTGGTGATATTCGAAAATAAAAATTTGTGTAAAAAAATAGTTGGTACGTTAATAATAGCTCGATATTGGTTTTTCTATTTTTCCTTACATATGTTTTGTGTTCTTAGATACAGTATACATTAGTGTATATATTAGTCTTGAACCTTGAAAGTTAGCGTTAAAAATCAAACAAATAGTCAGTTGTAAGTAAAATATTTTTTTAAATTGTCATCCCGTTTACAGTATCCCATATTGTGTTTTAGAAGTCATTCAGCTAATGCACGAGTCTTGGACGGAAATACAAATAAAAGATCAATTAGGAAGCTTTTTATGGGTCTCTTCATTTGGTAATAGTAGCAAAAACTTTATTCATGAAGCAAGTGGTTGTTAAACAATTATTTATTTTTATGTTTTTTGTAAACTTATAATACAAAAGAATTTAAAATACATCTTTAAATAAACTCTTTAAAATATTCATTGTATTTTTAGTTTGAATATCCCCGAAACTATTTTTCTAACCCTTTTATAAGGAGTTTTTAGGAACGTTGATATGTAAATAATGTAAAATTTTCACATGGCTCTCAGTATTTCATTAACAAAAACAAATCCAAATAAAATAAAACCGTAGTTTAGCAGAATTAGCTGTATTTTACAGTATTGTTCAGTATTTTTTGTATTGTACAAATTTACAGATTTTACAATTAGTTAATAACAACTATTGTTTTGTATTTATAAATATGCATTATTTGTATGTTTGAACTTTTATATAACTAGTTGAATAATAGACATTCGAAAATATTTTTGTTCGTTACTAAAAGCAAATAACTATAATAAATATAACTACTTTAAAATATAAAATGAAATTTTTTTTCATAAAAATGATTTGCAATTTATAGAATTATTTAATTAATCGTAACAAAAACCCACACAAAAATTTGAAAATTTAGGAGCTTTTCAAAACATTCAAAAACGTTTTAAACTTTCACGTAGTTATTTTGCTAACAATCAAACAAATAACTTTAGTAATTTGTTTGCAACTTTAGGGAAAAAACCGTGTAAAAAAACTTTATCTGACACTTATTTTTTTATGATTGATGCGTTTGATTCAAGTAAAACTTTGTTTTTTTGAAGTACAATCATTTAGTTAATTTAGTATTTAAACCGAATTTAACATTTAAAATTTAGATCAATTTATTTGCGCATTTAATTGCGCAAATCATATCAATTTGTATATTTAATAATTTAGGGGAACTAATGTCACGGAGGAAACTTTGTTTCGCAGAAAGGGGAAAATATATTACAAGGAGGGAATTATTATTTCGAAATGAATTTTCCCCCCGGAAAGAATATTTCTGCCGGGGGGAAAATTCTATAATAGGGAACGTTTATTTCGTAATACCGGCAACGTTGTACTAACATGAAATCGAACGTAAATACAACGCTAATACATTGTTGTGTGCCCGCTGGGTTTGCTTACGCATTTTTAATTTTTTTTCAATCTTATTTAGTTTTCTAGAAAACAAAGTAAAACATTTTTATAGGCCTATAGATATTATATGCATAACATATATATAAAGATTTAACGTACTATAACAAACAAAAAGGAAGAAGTAATTAAAGACCCTTTTTTATAAAAAAGAAATATATAAATATATATATATATATATATATATATATATATATATATATATATATATATATATATATATATATATATATTATATATATATATATACATATATATATATATATATACATATATATATATATATATATATATATATATATATATATATATATATATATATATATATATATATATATATATATATATATATATATATATATATATATATATATATATATATATACATATATATATATATATATACATATATATATATATATATATATATATATATATATATATATATATATATATATATATATATATATATATATATATATATATATATATATATATATATATATATATATATATATATATATATATTTATTTAAACGATTTAAAAAAATGTATTCTACAAAGAAGAGTGCTCCTTGTTCTTAAAAGAACAGAACATTTCTAAATTAGTAGAAAAACTCTAAATTCAAATAAAAATTAGTAGAAAAATTATTAGAAAAATAGAATGTAAAGTGATTTTCTACTAATTTATATATATATATATATATATATATATATATATATATATATATATATATATATATATATATATATATATATATATATATATATATATATATATATATATATATATATATATATATATATATATATATATATATATATATATATATATATATATATATATATATATATATGTATATATATATATATTTATGTTTGTATCGATATAGATTTTATTCATAATATATTTATTAAATTTAACCTGAAGGGTTGTCCACGATTGTTAAACTGTTTATAAATCCAGGTTGCGGAGGATACCATGGATTGCTCATGAAAACTTTTACATTACTAAAATTTGTGGGAAAAATATTTTCCAAACTGTAAACTGTTTCGTTTGCTACGTTTACAATAAATTTGTATTGATTTGCGAACTTTGTTTGTGATATTATAACTTGTACCCATTTATTTAATGGTATTACTGTTTTTGAAAACGCATCGCAGTTTTGTTTGCCACTTATATCTGATGCAAAATATAACAAGTTCAATGGTGAAACAAACACTGCTGGTATTCTAGAGCCATAAGTAAACAAATTATCACCAGTTGTAAGATGAATTACGCTAGCCCAGTTGTTTAAATATGTTGTTGGCATAAAATTAAATGATACTTTGTACTCCGTTGGAAGATTGTCCAAAGTAGTCAATGAAAAGTTTCTTGTTATAGCAGTTCTTTCAACCATTGTGAATAATTCAACTACATAAATTAAAACTTATAACAAACACAAAAAAAAAATTAAAGAGCAGTAACAAAGCACCATAACTAATTTTTAATTATATATTTACCATTAAACCTTCAGTAACGTTTACTAAGCTTAGAAGTCATTTAAATGTATATCTTCAAAGAAAGTAAAACCATAATTTTAATGGGTCACTATAGTATAGATATTTATAAGTTTGCTTTTTTCATGTCTCATATTAACAATAAGACACGTTTTGTTATGTAATCTTAGTCAATAATTAAAAATATTTTCCTAAATCATTCAAATCAAATTTTCAGAGTCAAATGAAATTTATTTAAAAAACGTTAATACAATTTATTGACAAAAATGACAAAAAAAGAGAACTAAAAAATTTTAATTTTGGAATCAATATTGATGAAAACCTTATTATTACACAAATTTATTGAGCAACAAAACTGTTTGAAATGTATGAATAATGTACAAAGCTAGAAAAGCTTACAAAAAACACAATTTATTTTAATTATATTTCTCTTTAAACCATTGCCATATAAAATATGAAAAAATTGCATAGGGTAATACCAATAAATCTATACTGCTTTCTCTTCATTGTCAACATAGATATGTTTTGAAAAATTTGATTTTTCCCATGAATGGAATTATCTTTCATTCAAAAAAAACTACAAAAAGTTATTTTATGTTTTAAAATTCATCTGAAAACGAATACAAAACTTAAAAGATAATATATAATAGTTTATCTGATCCACATATTATGTGATTATGAATTTGTACTTTTTAAAATATTTTTGTATTTGCATATAAAAGTATCAGGATTTTCTTTATACTAATTTTATTTATATAATCTTACCAAAAATTATGTTTTCTCTAACTATTAATACAATAATGTTTTGTTTTTTAAACTGTAGAATTCATTACAATTTAATGCAATTATTCTTTACGAGAAATTCTCGATAAAAAGAACTAAGGATCATCTGCAACGCTCCACGATCTTTTAATTGTTATTATTTTTATACATGTGTATTTTCTTATATTTTTTAATGCATAACGACTTATATCTTACTAATGCTATTGTGTAATTTTATTTAACCTTTAAGAAAAGAGCAATATATATATATATATATATATATATATATATATATATATATATATATATATATATATATATATATATATATATATATATATATATATATATATATATATATATTTATATTTATATATAAATAGATGTATTTTGTGATTATTTCACTTTATATTGATCACTCTCAAATCAAAAAAGAGTTGATTATTATCAAATAATCAAAAATATATATATATATATATATATATATATATATATAAATATATATATATATATATATATATATATATATATATATATATATATATATATATATATATATATATATATATATATATATATATATATATATATATATATATATATATATGAATATAAGTTTAATTTAAAATATATCTATTAAGTTTAACCTGAAGGGTTGTCCACTATTACCAAACTGTTTATAAATCCTGGTTGCGCAGGATACCATGGATTGCTCATGAAAACCTTTACCTTACTAAAACTTGTAGGAAGATCATTTTCTATACTGTAAACTGTCTCGTTAGCTACATTAACTGTAAATTTGTATAGATTTGCAATTTTGGTTTGTGACATTATAATTTCTACCCATTTATTTAACGGTATAACTGTTTTTAAATACGTTTCGCAGTTTTGTTTGCCACTTATATCTGATGCAAAATATAACAAGTTTAATGGTGAAACAAACACTGCTGGTATTCTAGAGCCATAAGTAAACAAATTTTCACCAATTGTAAAATGAATAACGCTAGCCCAGTCGTTTAAATATGTTGTTGGCATAAAATTAAATGATACTCTGTATTCTCTTGGTAGAGAACTCAAAGTAATCAATGAAAAGTTTTTTGTTATTGCTGCTCCTTCAACCATTTTGAACAATTCAACTAAATAAAATAAAACTTATAAGTATCACATAATTTTATATATATATATACATATATATATATATATATATATATATATATATATATATATATATATATATATATATATATATATATATATATATATATATATATATATATATAAATATATATATATATATATATATATATAATATATATATATATATATATATATATATATATATATATATATATATATAAATATATATATATATATATATATATATATATATATATATATATATATATATATATAAAGATTATTTTTTTTTTTTTGTTTTTTTTTTTATTATTTACCTCCCCAAAGGGAGCCTCCCGAGGGGGCCACTACAGTCGAGGAGGCTACTCAATTTTTTTTTTGTTTTTTTTTGTTGTAAAATGTGGTACAACCCTCTCTCAACTTGTTAACTCCGAAACACAAACCTTGACAAGCAAGGCCGCTGCGCGGAGAAAATAAGTTGAGCACGGGACTTCCAGGGACGTGGTGGGAGTCGAACTCCGAACATCCTCCTTACAAAACGAGCGCTCTTAGCTCTACACCACTACCGCATACCATTTCATTGTATCAAAATATAATACAAAGTCTCTTATTTGTTTGAGAGTGATCAATATTAAGTAAATTATTTACTAAATAGATCAGTATTATTATAAAAAGAGTTTTGATTATTTGAAAAAAAACAACATTGTGATGGAACTTAAAGTTTCATGCTCTTCGACAATCATCTGCCATATTTTAAATTTTAAATTAAGAAAAAACCGTTAAAAACTGTTATTTTTTATCGTTTATATATATATATATATATATATATATATATATATATATATATATATATATATATATATATATATATATATATATATATATATATATATATATATATATATATAAATATATATATATATATATTTATATATATATATATATATATATATATATATATATATATATATATATATATATATATATATATATATATATATATATATATATATATATATATATATTTATAAGTTTTATTTAAAGTATATCTATTAGGTTAACCTGAAGGATTGTCCACTATTTCCAAATTGTTTATAAGTCCAGGTTGTGCAGGATACCACGGATTGCTCATAAAAACTTTTACATTACTAAAATTTGTAGGAAGATCATTTTCTATACTATAAATTGTCTCGTTTGCCAAATCAACTGTAAATTTATATTGATTTTCAAACCTAGATTGCGATATTATAACTTGTACCCATTTATTTAATGGTATAACCGTTTTTGAATAAGCTTCGCAGTTTTGTTTGCCATTTATATCTGATGCAAAATATAACAGGTTTAATGGTGAAATAAACACTGCTGGTATTCGAGAGCCATAAGTAAACAAATTTTCACCAGTTGTTAAATGAATAATACTAGCCCAGTTGTTTAAATATGATGTTGGCATAAATTTAAATGATACTCTGTACTCTGTTGGAAGTGAACTCAACGTAGTTAATGTAAAGTTTCTTGTTAATGCTGTTCCTTCAACCATTTTAAACAATTCAACTACATAAATTAAAAGTTATAAGAATCACACACATATATGTATATATATATATATATATATATATATATATATATATATATATATATATATATATATATATATATATATATATATATATATAAACATATATATATATATATATATATATATATATATATATATATATATATATATATATATATATATATATATATATATATATATATATATATATATATATATATATATATATATGAAGAGTGCATTTTCAAAATGTGGTATATCCATTTTTGTGGGATTAAGATAATTGACATGTTTCGCCACACCAACATGTCTCGTATATTTGGAAAATTTATTGTTTCTTAATGTATATATACATAAAGTATATTATATAATGAAAAAAAAATAAAATATTATATAATAGAAAATTTTTTTTTTTTGTCAATAAGTTTGCATTTATTTTTAAAAAACTGTATGTCCAATTAAGGCTTGTTAGCAAAATGCGGTATATCCATTCTATAAAGATGTTATTGAAAGTTTTTAAACATTAAAAGACCTGAATATGTTTTAATGATTATTTTTATTTAACATATTGAACAAATATGTGTATATAATGTTTGGTCATTATATTTTATTGATAATGTGAATGTAAATAATGTTTTATTAAAGTAATGTAAACTATTACATTTTACAATTCGCAATTGTAAATTTATATTTGTTTCGGAGAGTTAAATATGGACAATAAACAGTTATATTTTTTTAGTGTTGTGTAATTGTAACAACGATGATCACTATTTTTAAGTCTCAATAGAACTAATGGACAATTAATATAACATAAAAGTCATCGTTATATTTTTGAACGAAATAAATTTTTAAAAATGAAAGACTGCAATATCCTTATTTTATTTGCAACAAAGCAATTGCCGGTTTAACAAAAAATAAAAAAGAAGTATTATTGTTAAATGCTTTCCATTAAAAAACAGGTAACAATATGTTTAAACTTATTAATTTAAGTTGCCTTTTTAATATATTTTCTATCATTATTCCATAATTCGTTCAGTTAAACAAACAAAGCATGGTAGTTTAAACGAACACTAGAATTAAGAAATGCTTTTCTTTTCTTTTGTTTCATACATCATATCTTTTTTTCTATGTGAAATAGGATATTAGGTAACGCATTAATCTTGTCCATCGCAATCCGCGATGGACAAGATTAATCCGCGATATATATTACTTCTGCGCAAGTGCAAATATTTTATAGTTGCGTTAAAGAAATCTTTAACGCAACATTAAAATATTTGCACTTGCGCAGAAGTAATATATATTTGCCACGGATTTGTCACAATTAAATACCGCATTTTGAAAACAAATAAAAAAATTTATACCGCGTTTTGAAAATAAATGTTTTTTAGAAGTAAAAAAATATTGGGTTATACTTCGTTTAGCATATATTCGGACACAATGTCTGCTAGGTCCTTATAAACTAAAAATAAACCACACAATTTCTAAAAAATATTTAAAATGGCGTTCACCGCGTTTTGAAAATAAACTCTTCATATATATATATATATATATATATATATATATATATATATATATATATATATATATATATATATATATATATATATATATATATATATATATATATATATATATATATATATATATATATATATATATATATATATATATATATATATATATATATATATATATATATAAATTATGCCGGATCATAAAAAAATTTTTTTTTTTCAGAATTTGTGAAAAGTAGCGTGATCTAGTGGCGTGATCTAGTGTTTAATATTTACAAAAAAAAAATTTTTTAAAGAATTGATTATACTTTGCATTTTTAAGTTTTAAGGTTTTAAATGCTAAGTATATTTACTTTAGTACATGCATTAACTGAAACATTCATTTAACCCTAATACTAGATATAATCCCAAGGTTATGAAATTGAACCAAACCTATACCTACCTAACTAAATTAACCCTAATAATGTGATTAACTCCAACGCTATTATAACCTTATATTATTATTATATTATTTTATTTTATTATGATTGTTTAATTATTTCTGCTTTTATTAACTGATTGCAGAATTTATCCGTCTTATTTTGTATTTTTCAAAATTAACTGAAATTCTGATATGTTATAAAATTGTAAAACAATTTTGGTGGCAAGATCTAAAGCTTCAAAGAATCGTCATATACTTTTTGGAGAAGGTCGTGAATTACCCAATTTTTGCTTGCCAACCCACAGGCAAGTAGGCAAAACATACTTGTCTGAGAAGAATTATGAAACTGAACCACTACGGTCTGTTTGTAAGAGACTAGCAGAGAAACTTTCTCAGATATGGATTAAAGCATCAGTTCCTACTATAAGTCTTCGAGGCATAGAATTACAGCTGGAGAAGTACAAAAGCGATGTTCAGAAAGTGATTCGATCAAAGTCTGCAACAGTCAAATAAGATGAAATAGAAAATGATCTTGTCACATTGTTTGACATTTGTTCGTGTAAATGCAAAGAACTTTCGTCTTGCTGCTGTCCAATGGTTTTAAAGGTGCCAGAAATTGAGCATGTTTTCCTAACTGATCAACGCACTATACGTGTTGGCAGAATAGCTGGAATCGACAAGAAGAAATTCGCACGTGCTTAGAGGCGTTTAAAACAAAAAGCTGTTTCATTATCAAAGGAAGAGACTGCAGTTAAGTGTGTCAGAGTCGTTAAAGCATCTGATAATGAATCAGATAATGAAATAGACAACAATTCTGACACCGAAACTTATTCCCCTTTAGTATCAGAGGTCGATACCAAAGTCACATCTACTCGTCTAAAAAACCGTTACTTAAATAATAATGCTCTACAAGCAGATGGTTTTGGCATATCAGATAGAGCAGTTGCTGCGATTGTATCAGCAACTCTGGTTGATTTTGGTATAGAACATATGGGGCCAGTGGATCGGAATAAAATTCGCAGAGAACGAAAACTACTGAGAACATCCTGTAAAAATGCTGATTGTAGAATTACTGGATTGTATTTTAATGGAAGGAAAGATCAGACTTTAAAACTTGAGGGGGATAGGTAGACTGTAATTTCTGAGTAACATATTTCTATTTTATCAGAGCCAAATTCAAAGTATGTTGATGATTGTACGCCAACAAGTGGATCAGCCAAATCCATTGCATATTCAATAATTGATACTGTTGACTGCACGAACCTTGTTTGTATTGGTTCTGATTCAACTAACGTTAATACTGGTTTAAACAATAGAGTTATACGCAGAATGGAAATTGAACTTGGTCGACCACTGTACTGGTCCATTTGTCTTTTACTTCTGAACGAGCTTCCTTTGCGACATCTTTTTCACTCCTTAGATGGTGCAACAACTGGAACCCATTCATTTAATGGACCAAATGACAAGTCTATTTCAATGTCTGTTCAGAAACCCATAGTCAGCTTTGCCATAATTGTTGGTGAACCTATTATATGCGATAAGCAGTTGTTAAGCAGTGATCAATTGTTTTTTTTCGAAATTGTTAATGCGGTGAAGACAGGTGTTGTACCAGATAGAGTTAATTCTAGAACACCTAGGCGACTAAACCATGCAAGGTGGTTGACACTAGCAAACCGTGTTCTACGCCTCTATATATCTACTGAAGATCCATCAAATGAACAAATACTTTTGGCTAAATTTATTGTGAATTCATATGCGGTTGTTTGGTTTGACATTAAGGAACATTCAAACTGCTGGAATGCTGCCCCACACCATTATAAAATGATAGAAACATCACGATTTCTTCCTGTGCGTTATCGAATAACTGTTCAGCAAGTTTTGAAGCGCAATAGCTACCCGGCTCATATCGAGAGCATTATTCTGGCTATGCTCAAAGATAACCGTCAAGTGATCCGTAAGCTTGCGTTGAAGAGAATTCTTCGTGCTCGTGAAGATGACATACCAAATCGAAAATTTCAACTCCTTGAGATACGATTTCAAGCGACTAGTTATAAAGAACTGATTGACTGGCAAACACAGCCCCGCTTGGAACCTGTTCTGACAAAACATATTCCAACTGTACAAATATTGGCATGGCTTTCGTCAGTTGAAGACATAGTTATTGACATTGAGCCTTTTCCATGTCACAATCAAAAGGTTGAACATGTGATTAAAATTGTGACTGAATCAGCATCCAAAGTTTATGGTCATGAAAATTGTGATGGCTTTATTCGCGTTCAACTGGAGCGCCGCAAGTTGATGCCTCACTTTGATAAATATCTGAATTTAAGAACATTTAAGTATAGTTTCTAATCAACGTTTGCTAATGATATATTGTTTTGACTGTTCAATATATTTGTATATATAAATATTGAAATCTGGCTACAACGTCCGAGCGAAAAAAATCACTTTGAGTTTTTTACCTTTATGCTCATGAGATGACAGCATTCACAAAATTGTGCATTTTTACAGCATACAAAATTAGTTGAACAGAAAACAACGGGTACTGATGACAGATATTTACTTTTTCAAATTATACTTTGTAAATTATAAGTTTATAAAATATATTAGCATGGAACCAGCAATGTTTATTCTTTTCGTTATGTTTAGCATCATCTTGTTATAATGATTGTGCCTTCCGTTTCAATGTTCATTAAAACTGAAGAAACCTATTTTGACATCCGTAAACGTTTGTTTTTGTTTTGTTTTACTATAAAAACGGAAAAATTAATTCTAAGACTTCAAAAGTTGAAAAAATCATTCTTTGACTTTATAAGTAGAAAACAGCGTACTATTGCCTCAAAAGATCGATGGTAAGATTTATTTGAGTTGTTTTTCCTTGCATTTTAAATTAAAAAGAATTTGCACATATTTTGAAAATATGAACAATAAACTGAATAATATATCACTTCAATATAATCATTAAATGATCTGAAATCAATAATACTCAAAGTAAATACCAAAAATAGTCATTAGAAATCTGTGTAATTAATATATGATATTGTTTTGAAGCTTTATCCCACATTCTCTGCACTTTTATGTAAAACAAACTTTATTTTGTTGTGTTTTTGCTAATTTTGAGTAAACAATACTCCTATTTGAAATATCTTTCTAATATTTCAGTGAACATTAACTATGCCTAACCAAGCTAAAGATCATGATGCAAATCGAAAAACAGTTTGCTTGCTGTGCTTTCAAAAAGCAACACGTCAAATTACAACCTTTCAAGAAGAAAGAATTCGTCAGATCTACCAACATCAGATAAACTATTAAAAGCCACGTGTTCCCCAAGGATTGTGTGAAGCTTGCCCTTCACTCTTGAGACGAAAAGATGAAGGAAAAGATGTCAGCTTTCCTGACCTGTTTGATTTCTTGACAACCTACATGAAACCAGAAAGCAGAACGGCTGGTCAATAACGCTTATACCTAATTTGTCACATAGGAGGTTTGAGGCACAATCAAAAAAGTCTTATGGTCAACCATGAAGCGCAAGCAAGAGTTCCTCTGCGTTGTACAACATGTCTTAGTCCTATTAGAAAATGACTTCCACACAGCTGCAATAGGTTCACTTTCCGCGAAAACTCAATACTGGCTTGTTAAACCATGGAATAAAGAAACTAGCAATGACGTTGAACCAGACATCGGCTCAGAAGATAGTCAAGCCGAAATTTCGTGCAAAATTTAAGAAGCTGGGCAGATGCTATCTGAATTTTTCACTTACTAGGTTCTTGTAGATGCTAAAGATCCGAGACAAGGGTTGTCTGGCATATCATGGACTGTCGTGTACTGTAAAAACCTCGCCGATCTTTTGAATGAAGTACTCAAACATCGAGATATAGATGACAATCTTGTCAAACTTGGCATTGATGGTTGGGGAGGATTTCTGAAATTCTCCCTCAGTGTTGTGAGAAAAAGCCAAGGTAAAAATGTGTGATGCAAAATCCAACAATCTGAATTGCTCAGAGAAACTGAGGACTATCGGCTCATTGAAGAAGAGTTTCGAAAATTTGAAAAATCGGAAAGGTCACCACAAAAGCGAAACTATTTGGCAATGTCATTTATGAGCCGGTCTTCAGCAGAAAAAATGACATCCTCATCATCGACATTATTGCACCAATGGAGTTGCACCTTTTGTTGGGAGTGGTAAACCTGGTCTTCAAAAAAATCAAAGATGTGGGGCCAGATGTTGAAAAATGGCCTTCTTCTCTGCATATTTAAATTGAGCTATATCACGGCAGACAGGTTGTCATTGGAAATGACTGTCAAAAACTTTTGAAGAACATTGAGAAGCTTCAGCAGCTTGCAGAGGTTGGTTCAGTTTCCCAAGTTTTTCCCTTCATCGCTGTGTTTCGAAGATTCAATGTTGTTGTCCAAGCATGCTTTGGCGTGAATCTGGATGTCCAATACAAAGAAAAAATCAAGAGTTGTCCAATACAAAGAAAAAAAAAAACGAGAGGCATTCCTGACATTACCTAAAAACAAGCGTAACTCCAAAAGTGCACTGTGTATTTTATCACATCCAAGATTTTATTGAGCCGCACAAAGCACCTTTGGGTGCATTCAGTGAATAGAGTGTGGAGTCACTTCATCATGATTTCTCTCTTGCCTGGAATTGATTCAAAAGGCTATCAAACCATCCAGAGTATGCTAGCCGACTCAAAAACTGCATTGTGGATTACAATAGCAAACGTTTATGAGTTCAGAGTCATATGTTTTTCTTTTGTCAAAAATTTAAATCCAGCACAGCATACAGTATTTTTCAAAGAATTTAAGCATATTTGTGCTAATTAGATTTACGAACTTGGCATAAGGATAAGTTTTTCATTTTGTTGTTGTTTTTGCCCATAAATTATGAATATAGAGATAACAAAAAATTATATGGATAATTAAATAATTCTATGTTTAAGTTGAATTATTTCTAAAACATAAAAAGTATTCTTTTAAGGTCTATCTGTGTCAAACAAAATTAAAATAGTACATAGATTATTTAAAATTGATAGTTTAATTATTGTATACTGTAAAAATGCACAATTTTGTGAATGTTATCATCTCATGAGCATGTACAAAAAGGGTAAAAAATTCAAAGTGGTTTTTTTCGCTCGGACGTTGTAACTAGATTTTAATATTTATGTATTTTGAATCTGTGAACCATGTAGACTCACCCAGGACAGTTGGCATTCTGGGGTCGATAAACAAAATAGCTATATATATATATATATATATATATATATATATATATATATATATATATATATATATATATATATATATATATATATATATATATATATATATATATAAATATATATATAATATATATATAAATATATATATATACATATATATATTAATATATATATATATATATATATATATATATATATATATATATATATATATATATATATATATATATATATATATATACATATATATATACATATATATATATATATATATATATATATATATATATATATATATATATATATATATATATATATATATATATATATATATATATATATATATATATATATATATATATATATATATATATATATATATATATATATATATATATATATATATATATATATATATATATATATAGCTATTTTGTTTACAACTTTAGACTTATTTTCAATTTCTTCTTTTTCGGCTATTTTTTAATTACTTAGTTGTAATTACTTTATTTATCATGTAAAGCTAGACAAGTAGAAAAATATGGATATAGCGTCTAATTGAAATGTTGGTAGAGGTATAACCGTTCGCTAACCTTAAATTTTATATGTGATGTATTGCCGGGCAGTTTTATTGAAATAAAAAATTATTGTAATATGAAATATATTGCTAGAATGAATATTTCTTTATAGTTTAAAATATACAACAATTCTTTTCTTTTTACCTTGCCTTTTTTTTAGGAAGAAATACATCACCCGTTTTATCTATTTCTTAATGACTTGTTTTTCTTTAAATCTTTACTTTAAAATTTTTCATTTGTTACCCAAAAGTCTTTGAGTTAAAATCTCGCATTTATTTAATTATTTTTTATTTATAAAAGTAGCAATAAATGTTAAAGACAAACAAAAATTGAACCAAATACTTTTGATATTTATAAAAAAAAAACTAATGGCAAAGCAAAGGCTAAACGTTGTTCAAAAAACGGCTGCCATACATGGACCATGCCTTAAACAGCTAGCAAGACTTGGATTGAACCATCCTTGTGGGCAGATAGTGAGCCTTGTATGACGCCAATAATTGGCTATGCGTTGGCTAACCATTGGCCAAACATGGCAAAGTTGCTGGGAGAACATCAATAGACGTCTATAGTACAAATTGTTTAAGAGTACTTGTCCGAATCCAAAATGTTTCTAAACAGTAATTGCTGATATGTCCATTGTGTGAGTGATAAATATAATAAGTATAAAATCTGCAAAGCTTGCTCATTTACCTTAACAAATTGCAAAAGCTAAAGTTAAATGTATTAAAGACTTAGTAAATGCATGAGCTTTAATGTATAAAGTTTTACATATTAACCAAATTAACTCTCTAATGTTTTAAAATTAGTTGACTTCTGAAATGGGTAACGATATCAGAATGCAATTTATGCAAACAGACTGTTTTTGAACTTTTTAGTTCAGGACTGCATTAACTACAACCGAGTACTTAACAGTTAAAAACTGAAGTTTTAGTTTAACCAGTTAACTCAAAAAAGAATGTTTTGAATAAATTTGGTTAAGAAAAATATACGAATAAAATTTAGTTCCAGGAGTGCTAGACAAATGTTTTGCCGCTTTTATTATTTAAAAAATTTTTTACTAATAATATTGTAAAAAAATTTTTTACAATATTTCAGAACTTAATAAATTTAAACAATTTAACAATATTTTAAATAAGATAATGTAACTATATATAAAAATATTTATAAACATCACAACTCTAAATGAATTTATACTTACGACAAGCTGCTTTTTGTAAAATAACGACCAGAATTATTATAAACGCCTAAAAATAATTTTTGTATCTATCATTAACAACGTAAACAATTATCCATATTTGATATTTTTTACAACAAAGTTCAATGATACAAATTTAAAAAAAGGGTTGGCTCTTTTACATAATTTTTTTTATCATGCCAAGTAAGTTAATTTAAAAAAAAGGCGTATTACTTAATTTTAAACGTTTAAAATAACGACTTTTTTTATATAATGTAAGTTTTTTTAATTTCAAAAGTAATTTATGTCAAAGTAGATAATATCATAAATTAATTTACTTTTATACGTAAAAGTGAATCACAGAAAATAGCGGATTACCTAAACAAACAAAAGTAGTAGTAGTAGTTTTTTTAAAAGAAAACGTAAATAATAGTGTAGGCAAATATTCAACGGAAATAAACTTCAAATAAGGTAATGTTAAAACATACTACACATTTATCAAGTTTATAAAGTTGATTTTCACTTGAAAAATGCATTGCGATAAGCTTTCCTAAACTTTTGTTTATAACATTTATTTCTATTTATAAATCATTATTTAGTTTTAAAAGTTTTTGTTAAACAACGTGTCAGCGTGGCGAAGTGCTTAGAAAGACGAGCTTCTGAACAAATAAGCCGTAATTCTATTCCTGGCAAATTTTTTTAAATTACTTTTTGGTTATATCAAAATACAAAAAGCTTTTGAAATTTCATATAGATTATCTAAAAACATATGTAACATTATTATACACTTTATCAACAAAAATTTTTTTAAAATGTTAAAATTCTTAAAACAATAAAACACCGGTATTAAAAAAATGTGGCGTATGTGTCATGAATGAGCAACTGATGTTATTAATGTGCTCAAGTAATCAGTCTTAATAATCATATAAATATACTTTTTTTTAATGACTATGTTTTAGTGTTCCAAGATCTTTTTTTTCCCATTCGTATAGCGTAAGGTAAAAACGTTCGTAAGAGTAAACGTTTTTAGTATATGCCGAGTTTGCAGATGTTATATAAAAGTGGTGACTGCGCACTTAACCACTGAGCTATCGATGAAATGCTTTTAGCAAAAAGAAACAACCTAATTATAAGTCTTTTATAAGCTGTACGTATTTAAAGAAGGTGCACATGTTAAGTTTTTTGCTTTTGTTTTTAAGCTTTTGAATGTTTTTTTTTCAGAATAAGCTGGGATATTAAAGGAAAAAGTATAATATAGTTTGGTCGGACTTACAAAGATTCTTTTTTTTACGGGTCTGATTTCAGCTAGTAGTATATCCTTAGATTGTAAATTAATGTATAATATAATAGTGCTGTACACTTAAAGAGTGACGAGACCAAACTACGTAGAGTATGTCACTTTAACAGCTGTAACACACAAACATACAAACATAATAAAAGTTAGTACTTAAAATCTTCATCCAATTTGTCTTTGAACTGGTTGATTCTGACTGCGTCTATTGTTTCTTGTTTAAGATTGTTCCAGTCGTTTACTACTCTATTTTTGAAAAAAATTATGTAGTTTTATATTTCCTGTATATTACCTTCTCAGTTTACTATTGTGACCTCTATTTTTATATCCGTTATCTAGCATTTCGGGTTTTGTTTAAAAATTAATAATATCGTACTCTTTCAAATAGTTAAACATTTGTATCAAATCACCCCTTCTTCTTCTGTTCTCCAGCAATAGTAAATTCAACTTTTCTAACCTCTCTTCATAACTGTAATTATAATTCTAAAAGCTCTTTGTTAGACACACTCTAGCTTATCTTTATCATATTGACGATAAGGATTCCAAATAGAGCTGCGTATTCCAAATGTGGACGTACTAAGGCTAATTAAAAGAGTTTCATCGTTTTTTCATCTAAACTTTTAAAAATGAGACCTAGCTTTTGATTTGCTTTATTTACTGCTTTGTTTGCATGGTTTTTCTATTCCAAATCGTCTGAAATGTATACTCCTAAATCCTTTTTCATGCTTGTGTAAGTTAAAGCTGTATTATTTATTAAAACTTTGTGCTGGCTATTTTCTATTATTATAATCTTACATTTTTGTTAATTAATTTCATCAACCACTCATTCGACCTTTTTATTAATAAGTCTATGTTATGTTGAAGTTCAATAATATCATTATTGTTTTTTTTTTTGCTTTTAGGATTTTTATGTCGTCAGCAAATAGTTTACTGTTTGATTTTATTTTGTTAGAGATATCATTAATATATACTGCAAACAATAGTGGTCCTAGCACTGATCTTTGTGGTACTCCACTCACGACCCCTTCCTATTCTGATTTATTTTTTCCTATCACCACTCTTTGAAGTGTGTTCTTTAAAAATCTCTGCACCAGTTGAATAGTTTTGATTTAAAACCAAGAGCATTCAATTTTAACAATAATTTTTCGTAATCAACTGAATCAAATGCTTTTGCAAAGTCAGAAACAAAACTATTACATCCAAACCATTTTCAACTGAACTTGTGATAAAATCTAGAAATTCCAATAAGTTCGTCACACAACTTTTATTATTAACAAATCGATGTTGGTTTTTATTGATTTTATTGATATTTTTATTAAATATTTTACAGATGTTAAAGATACAGGTTGCATGGGTTCAACTTGTCACCATTTTTAAACTGTGGACGATATTTGTACACAACCATAATTTCGGAAGTTTCAAATAACTTAATAAACAATAACAATAGTGGTTTGGCTAAAGTATATTTGCACTCTTTTCCACTCTAGTTGCTTTATAAATGTTCAGTTTGTTTAAGTATTCTTTAACAACAGAGGCATTAAAATCTGGATTTCTACAGATTTTTTGTGTTTCTATATCTATTATTGAAGCAGATAAAGTTTTATGTTTGTTGAATACTGATGCAAAATACCCATTCAATGTATTTGCAATACTTTTAAATGAGTTTCAATGCTACCATTTTTTAGTTGGATTGCTCTTACATTGTCTTTGACTTTACCTTTATTGGTAATATATGAATAAACTCTCTTGGGGTTAAACTTTAAATTTAAAGCAAAAGCATATTCAAAATCTTTAATTCTTTTGTTTACCTTTTTTTTTAAATCTTTGTATTCTGCAAGTAAATTTACGTAAACTTACGTATAAAAAAAAAAATGAAAAAAACTATTTCACCATAAATATAATAATATCTTGCATATAATAATGATTTACATGAAAGAAACATGCTTCCAAATTTTTTTTTTTTTTTTTTTTTTTTTTTTTTGCGGAAACGTTGCAGTGAATAGACGCTTTTTAACAGCTCTTTATAAATTATTAAAATAAAAGATAAACTTATTATTATTAAAAAAAAGGTAAATCTAAAATGTCAGTTATTCTTGTAGAAGTTAAAAAAATGCTGAAGGAAATGTTTTTGGAATATAGAAAAGAAATGGAAACAATGCTTAAGCAACAACAACAAATATTTATAGAAATCGCAATTATAAGCAAATACAAAAATAATTAATGAGAGACTTGACAAAGTTGAAGAAAACTCTAAAGAAAGTGCAAACAAAATAAAGATAATAGTAAAAGATATCGAAGACATAAAATTGAGCTTAAATTTTTATGATGAAGTTTTTGCCAAAAAAATTGCAACAATCCACAAACAAAACAATGATCGAGTGGAAAAGGAAAACATTACAACGCAAAATATAAATGAAAAGCTAAGAAAGTTTGAAGATAGATCGAGAAGAAATAGTTTAAGAATAGACGGGTTACCAGAAAGTGTGAAAGAAACATGGAATGAAACTGAGGATAAAGTTAAACTATTTTTAGTCAATAAGTTGGGAATAAATGGAATAGAAGTCGAACGAGCTCATCGAACCGGAGCCAGAAAAGAAGGAAGCTATAGAACGGTTATAATGAAGTTGTTAAGATACAATGATAAAACAAAAATTCTAAAAGAGTCATATAGGCTAAAAGGTACAAACATTTATTTAAAAGAAGATTTTTTTCCATGAGACTGTCATTATTAGGAAAAGACTCCTGGCTGAAGTAAAAGAACGACGCAATAATGGTGAAAAGTTTTTTTTTTTTTTTTTTTTTTTTTTTTTTTATTATAATTTAGCCGTACAAATATTTACAAGTTCCGTAATTTAAAATATTTAAAAATGGCAAGGACGAGAAGAAGACGGGGTTGTCTTATCACCAAGTCCCTTGTTTGTCTAGACATTTATATAAATACATGGTAACTAAAATGAAAATTAAAAAATTAAGAAAAAAGCAAAATATTACAAAGAAGTTTATATAAAATGCCAAATAGTTTAATAGTTCAAAGTTTTGAAAGATATTTTTTCGATTTTATTTTTTGAAAGAAAAATTTAAAAGTTCATTCAGAAAAACAAAAATATCAAAAAACTAAAAAACATGAAAAAAGTAAACGTAAAATTTAATTTACAATCTGTTCTTATAAAGTGTTATATATTAATTCCTCAAAAACAAATTACAAAATATTAATATAAAAAATTAAAACTCATAAAAGATTACTTTTTTTATTTTTCCTCTCTCTCTTTTATTTAAGAAAACTAATAAATTTATTTAAACTAATGAAATCTAAAAATGCTAAAAATCTTTATAAGTACTTTTTTTATAATATAACAGACTGTAATACCTATATAAAATTAAAGAATTTAGACCTTCCAGACAAATAAAGTATGCATTAGTAGATAGTTTTAAAATATAATATTTTTATAGATAGATTTAAAAATAATTATCTGTTTGTTCATTATTTAAAAGTAATAGTTTTAGTTTTTGTTTAAACTGATCAAGAGTTTTAAGTGTTTTAATATCATTACTGATTTTTTTATTCCATGCATTAGGTCCTCTAACAGTTATTGAAAACTTGGTGGAGTCGTATATAGTTTTGGGTTGAACAAAGTTGTTGTTAGAATATTTAGTTACGTATTTGTGTTGAATTTTATTAAATAATGGTTTGAAGATATTTGGTATTGAATTGTTATTAATTTTATACATAAAAATCAGAAGATGATATATATTTATTTGGTACACATTTAGTATTTTTA